AGTAGTGTTAGCTCTGGAGTCGCACCGATCTGAATAAAGCACCCAAAAAGAAACATTTTAGGTAGCAGTCCATCCTCCTTAAAAAAGGAATAACCTTTGTATAAAGACTCTAGTGAGGGTACAGAATTAAAAAGGACATTGCCAAGTGCTGTTCTGCCTATGCGGCATGATAGGAAGGGCAATTGGAGATAGGCCTAATCTTTGTAATTATTTTGCACGAATTGGCTACTATCATACTTGAGCATGCCGTGCATCCTTGTGCTCGTCAATCCCTGGATTTTAACATTGCACCAAGCAAATGACTACAAGGATATGGAATACTCTTATAATAAAAAAGAAGTTTTTGGGAATCTTGAATGGAAAAAGAATAGAGCCCTTGCTGATATTGCTGAGCTTGATCGTTTAGCTGAGGTGGGACAGAGTAGGGAGTCTTTACGCTCTCAAAGAGCCTCTTGTCAAGCGGTTTTTGCTGAGATTGCTCATATGGAGGAGATTTCGTGGCGTCAAAAGTCTCGGGCTTTGTGGTTAAAAGATGGTGATCGGAATACAAAATTCTTTCATAGACTGGCCAATGCTCACAGAAGGTGTAATCATATCGGAAGTATTCGGGTTAATGGTTTTGATTTGTGGAGAGAAGAAGATGTGCGCGGAGGAATTGCTTCTTTTTACCAGCAGCTTTACACTGAAACTTTGGATCGAAGACCTACTCTAGATGGTCTTCCATTTAATACTATTTCTGCGATGGATAGGGATAGTATTGAGATTCCATTCACGGAAGAGGAAGTGCTTAAGGCACTTTCTAGTTGCAACGGGGACAAAGCACCAGGGCCAGACGGATTTACTATGCGCTTTTTTAAGGAGAGTTGGGAGGTGGTGCGAGAGGAGGTGATGAGTACTTTTCAGGATTTTTATTCTCATGGCACATTTGAAAAATCTTTGAATGCATCTTTTATTGCTCTAATCCCTAAAAAGGGCGGTGCATCTGATATCAAGGATTTTCGGCCAATTAGCTTAATCGGATGTATGTATAAGCTTATTGCCAAGGTTCTTGTTTCCAGGATGAGTAAAGTGTTGGATGGTTTTATCTCAGAATCGCAGAACGCTTTTGTTGGTGGAAGGCAGATTTTGGATTCTATTCTTATTGCTGGGGAATGTGTTGACTCTAGATTAAGAAGCGGGGTTCCTGGCGTTTTGTGTAAGCTTGATATCGAGAAAGCTTATGATCATGTTAATTGGAAGTTTGTTTTGTATCTTCTTCGGTGGATGGGATTTGGTGATAGATGGATAAAATGGATTGACACTTGTATCTCATCAGTTATGTTTTCTGTTCTTGTGAATGGCTCTCCTGCGGGTTTTTTTGCTAGCTCACGTGGTCTGCGACAAGGTGATCCATTATCTTCTTTTCTTTTTCTCATCGTTATGGAAGGTCTGACTAGATTAATGAGAAAAGCGGAAGATTTGGGTTACATTAGGGGGTTCAGAGTTGGCAGAGATGTTGATCATCAGATCCAGATTTCTCATCTTTTATTTGCTGATGATACTTTGGTATTTTGTGATGCTGATATTTCTCAACTCAGATATCTGAGGTGCACTCTTGCTTGCTTCCAAGCAGTTTCTGGGCTTAAGATTAATGTCGGAAAGAGTGTGCTTGTTCCAGTGGGGGATGTTCCAGATATTTCCTCCTTAGCTGCTGTTTTAGGGTGCGGAGTTGGTTCTTTTCCTCTTCCTTATTTAGGATTGCCTTTGGGAGTTTCTTCTACTCTGGTTGGGAATTGGGACTCAGTGATTAATAGATATGAGAAAAGATTAGCAGGATGGAAAAAGCAGTATCTATCTAAGGGTGGGAAAGTCACACTTATAAAGAGTACTCTTTCATCCCTTCCTACCTATTTTTTGTCTTTGTTTCAAATTCCATGTTCTGTTGCTGATAGAATTGAAAAAATTCAGAGGGATTTTCTGTGGGGTGGAAGGGGAGAGGAGTTTAAGTATCATCTTGTTAATTGGGATCAAGTTTGCCAACCATTGAGATTCGGAGGGTTAGGCATTCGAAAAATTGTTCCTTTTAATCGTGCTCTCTTAGGAAAGTGGTTATGGTGATTTGGAAGGGAACGACATCGTCAGTGGAGAAGAGTTGTCTCGTGTCGTTTTGGTGAGGGGAGTGGGGGTTGGTCATCTCTTCCAGTTACTATTACGGGAGGCGTTGGTTTGTGGAAATTTATTCGGAAGGGATGGGATGTTTTCTCTACTCTTATTAGATTCAAAGTTCGTAATGGCAGGCATGTTCGTTTTTGGGAGGATCTTTGGTGTGGCGACCAGTTGCTTTCACACTCATTTCCTAGGCCTTATAGCATTGCAACTAATAAGCATGTTTTCGTGATTGATTGTTATCATCTTGATAACAATGGAGTTACGTGGGATGTGCGGTTTAGGCGGTCTTTTCAGAATTGGGAAATGGAGGAAGTTTCTGCTTTTTTGGATATTTTGTATAGGCAGAAGGATATTGGCAGAGGGTGTGATGATATTTTGTGGGTTCCTTTGGCTCATGGTCGGTATGATGTCCGCTCTATGTTTATTCATTTATCCAATTTCGTTGGTTCCGAGTTTCCTTGGAAGTCCGTGTGGTGCTCTAAAGCCCCTCTTCGAATCGCGTTCTTCGCTTGGACAGCTACATTGGGGAAGATTTTGACTTTGGACAATTTGAGAAAGAGAGGCAACATCATTGTTAATTGGTGTTGTTTATGCAAAGATGACAGTGAATCCGTGGATCATATTCTTTTGCATTGTCCTGTGGCGTTTGGTTGTTGGAGTTTTATTTTCAGCATTTTCGGCATTTTTTGGGTAATGCCTAAGCACTCCCCTCAGTTGATTAATGCTTGGAAAAACTGTCCTGTTAAGAAACAAGCTCGTGCTTATTGGAAGATTGTTCCTCATTGTGTCTGGTGGTGTTTGTGGCGTGAGAGAAATAACAGATCCTTTGAAGGAAAAGAATCGTCCTTAGCTAATTTAAAAATTCATATTCTTCGTTCTTTATTCTTTTATGTTAGAGGTAGTACATGCTCCTCGATTGATGATTTCTTTGATCTCTTGGATTCTATTGGTCCTTAGATCTTTTCTCTTGTATTAGGGATGCGTTCCCCTTTTGAACGTTTTTCTAATATATTTTTACTTATCAAAAAAAAATAAAAAAGAAGGCAAAACGGAAAAAACCCCATTGAACTAAGTTTGGCAAATAATTCCTACTTTTGTAAAAACCTGCAAACAAACCTCTTACTGTTTATTTCCGTAAAAAATTGAATTAAAAAAAAATTAATTAATGTGTGCCTCACATGACATATTGATGATCTATCAAAGATGGACCTCAAGAGGGGGATTGCATACCCCTTTGTGAACAATTCTGTTCTTTATTAGCAAGCCTTTCTCCCACAATCTCCAAAGGATAGACTTTGGCGATTACAACTTTCACTTTCTTCCTCAGCGTGCGGGTCAGGGCATTTCCTTACTTTCACTTTCGGAATCCAACTCCTGATTAGAGGCTGCAACTGGGATTCAAATGCATGGAGAGACCTGCTAAGCATCAGGAGACATTTCCTTCGCTAGACCCCAATAAGTAGAAGTGATTTTGGGCACGTAATATACCCTATTTGTCAATTTAGAATAATGGCGCTCCCCCTTTTTCTCTTTTAGTTAGGATAGGCCTCATTAGCTGGGAGTGAGGGAATGGACTCTGTGCACTCCCTTTCCTTATCGATTTATATGGTTGTGACACCTCTAGCGGTTTCGGTTCTTTCTTTGAACAATTTGCGGGATGAGATGGAGTCTTGTGCGGACATGGCAGAATGGGAACCAGATTCTGTTGTCTTATCCCCCATTACAGATTGTAATAGCTCAACAAATAAGGCTTTAGGCAATCGATTCGACGAACTGTCGAAAGACATGGGAAACTTTATCGGATTTTCGTCCCTAGTTTCATTCGTGGTTTGACTTTTTCAAGTCCCGCATCTTAGCTTAACTCTCCCTCTTGGCTGTGAATCATTACATTAATATATTGGAGATGCTTAGCAGGCGGACTTTCTGAGCTAAAACAAGAACAGTCTAAAAGTGCACACTTCATGAGCTGTCTCTTATTTAATGCATCACATGACACATTGATGATTTAAATTTACCACCATGTCTTTCTTTGTGGACTAAATTTCTTTTCAACAAAGATATATGGAGGGTTCCATTTTTGGGACTCGATTAGGGAGAAATGGGTCAAATGATTTCAACAGTACATCCCTGGGCTTTAACTTAAATTTGGACATTTTTATTTATTTTTATTTTTTCAACTCAAAAAATCCATTGTTATTTCAGGAACAGTTATGTAATTTTATTGCTTTGCGAACAGCTAAATGATGGAACGAGGGATATTTGAAAATCTTTTATAGTTCACTGGATTATTTACAAATGCTGGATAAATGAAGGTGTTTTTTTTATTTTACCCATATAAAAATAAAACAAAATCAGAAAGCCCCTAGGTATACCTATATTATGGAGTGGTACACGTGTCAAAAATTGGATATGGGCTTGTTTCATTGTTCTGTCTGGTATTATGTTAGTACCTCTGATTTTGCTTTGCAGTTGATATAGGTAGTGTATATATGGGTACTGTTGCTGTAGTTATGATGAACATGAACACAATTTCTTGAGACGTTATTTGAACCATATCATTATACAATTGTTTAGAATTGAGGGTATATAAGTACCAAGTGAGTTTTATCTATCAATTTTGCGTGTTAATTTCTGTTGAAATTTGTGCTGAAATCATTATTATGGCATGCTATTACATGAAAAAAGCATCAGATACCTAAAAGTCATAACTGGAAATGTATTGATTTGATTGCAAATATAGAGAAAATGAGAGACCCAAAATCTAGAACTGGGTTTCTATCGATTTAATTGCTTCATATGAACTATTGTATAGTGTACAAGTTTCTGACTCTTTGTCATGTTTGCTATTGCAGGATGATTCAGAAGCTGTAGCTATGATTAAGGAACTGTTGGAGACTCGTATACGTCCATCAGTGCAAGATGATGGTGGGGACATTGAGTACAGGGGATTTGATCCGTACGTTTCTCTCCCTGCGGTCAAAAGTATTGATTTAATGTTGGGGACTTTACATCTGATATTATCTAAATTAAATTCATCTGTTTTTTATTTCCTCAGTGAAACTGGAATAGTCAAACTAAAAATGCAAGGAGCGTGTAGTGGCTGCCCTAGTTCAGCTGTTACTCTGAAGTCTGGCATTGAGAACATGCTGATGCATTATGTGCCTGAGGTAATAGCCTTTAATTTTAATATTTTTACAATAAATAGACTTAAACATTTGGACAGTCTTTAAGATAGACTGTGTTAGTCTAATGGTATAAATGTGCCACTGTTTGTGGCAGCTGTTCAATTGTTCTAAGAACTCCTCGTCGTTGTTATACTTTTATTTATTTATTATTATTATAAATCCCTTGTCGTCGTAGTACTTGAGAGCTTCTTGATGGTGCAAAATTGTGTCAATTGATACTGTATAAGAAAGGTATGACAGTATTCTTAAAATAGCAAGTGTATTAAAAATCAACTTTCCTGATATGCTTTTACTTGCTTGGTCATCATTCTGTATTATATGCTCATAACTTTTTGTGTTTGATAAAATCAGATCTCCCTATTACAACTCATTGCTTAGTGATGCAACTGTTTATTAGATTTGTTGCCTTGGCCATGGTCTAGTTCTGCAGTATCGAGTTGATTTTTGTGTCTGTTATATTCAGCAATGTCAGGTTGATGCTTCTTTCTTTTTCATTTTTTTGGATAATTCTGCAACTTACAGGTTATTTGATATTTGAGTTATAAATTGTCCAGCCCTCATAATGCTAGCTGAAAACTGTAGCTATCATGCTCACTGTTGTTACGTTTGTGTATATATGTATGTTTTTCTGACGATTAAAAAAGAAGGACAGGCAAGAAGTATTGAATTTGCATGCATGCTTGCATGAGAATAAGTTTTTTGTGTTTGATGAACTTACAACTATCCCAATAAATATCATACTTAAGTGATGCAAGTGTTTCATGTTTTATAGTATGAAGCTGATTGTGCAAGCTATTCAAGATCGTCTTTTGTTGAGGGAAGACGGTTGCTTTTCACCTTTTGGCTTCAATATGTCAAGTTGTCTTAAGTATTGCAATTGTATTTTGATCAACTTTCAGCCAAATTTGTGCATGATGACCTTCCTGGTGTACGTATTACACAAAAACTTCTGTTATTATTTCTCAGATTGTGGAGTTCTTAACAAGGCATGTTATGCTTTCAAAAAGTGGGATAACATGCATGAAAAGATAGTAGCCGGCTGGGAAGAGATTATTTGTTTGAGAGTTCTAATAACATTAAAAAATGTTATGTTAGTACTATCAAATGTTACACTAGGGTTTTTGTGGATGCGAGTTGGGCATACATTAAAATGTTACTATCAAATGTTACATTAGGTGTCTCAAATGTTACACTAGGCTTCAAAGATCATCTTTGATTTCTGTGGACGTGAGCCGGCATGCATAATTTGCAACAGCCAACCTCTATTTCCTTTTAAGATGCTTTATATATTTTCAATTATATCGCTTTTAAGTAGTTTATGCTTGGAAATTTAACTTCACATCCGGTTTCCAAGACCATTGTACCAGGATTGTTTTAGCATACAGGCATGCGTATGATCTCAGTCCGATTGTCTGTTTTTTATGATTTATATTCTGGTATCTCTCCTTTTCAATATTTTGTTTGATTTATAAAAGCCTGCCGTGTTTACAGGTTAAAGCCGTGGAGCAGGAACATGATGACGAAGATGACGATGCAACATTAACTGGGGAGACGAGCAATTGAATTCGAATTTTGTTTTGCAAGGCATTTATATTTTGATAGGCAGTGAGGTCAAAGAGGGATTTAGTACCTTCCGGTGCAAAAATTAATATAGTTGAATTCTGGTTACTGTATTTATGAATTAAATTATTTGAGACTAAGCTAATTGCAATTGAATGTGATATTAACATGTTTCTATTAATAGAAAATTTGGTCCAATAATGATTGTCAATCAATTAGCTTATGCAGAGAATATCCTAAGATCTTAGTTCAGATGTTAGAATTTTCTGAAGATGTTGAAAATCTTTCCATTGAAGTATAGGTTCTTTGATGTTGACAACTTTTCAGTTTGTCTGTCAATGGTATTGTGCTGCATAGGTTCTTTCCATCTAGAAGATGGCCTATGAAATTGATCCTTGTTTGTAATTTAAAATTTGATATTGTTATCATTTGTTTTTGTTTGGAAAAAAAATTCACGTTTTTTTTAATATTTTATTATTTTATTTTTTTAGGGTTATTGCTTTGTGTAATGGTTTAATATATATAAATAAATATGTGCTGTAAAAGTTTATGTTGGCTGTGTGAAAATGGAAAAAGATTACTTTGGTGTAGATTTTTACAAATTAGAGTTATTATCTTTTAGATTTGTGATATTTTAATTGTAATTTGTATTAGTTCCCATAAGTAAATTGAGTGTGTGAAGAAAAAGATTTGTAATTTGTAATTTTTTTCTGTTTGTTGTTATTTATTTATTTATTTTAAATGTGATCCAGGAAGGGTTTATTTTTATTTTTTTAACTTTTTAAAAGAAGTATGGTCTCGCTAATTAAAAGTAGCGGAATGAATGAATTTTTATACATATTTATTTAGAACAATTTTTTCTCAGAAAAAAAAAAATTAATTCACACTAAATTATTTTTTCAATGAATTCATATGAATCGTATCAAACAAATATAATTGTATATTATACAGTATATGCCTATTCAAATATATGTATTTGAAATTCGAATTGATGAGAAAATGGTTTCCGAAAAGGAAATTGTATCTATCTAGAATTAGAAATGGTAAAAGCTGAATTTTTCCATGTAATTTAAGTGTCGACGCGCACACAATGTACAAAAAATATATATATATATATATATATATCACGATATCGTAGCCCGTAAGGAAGGCAAAGGGGCAGTGTCCGCCGTCAAGTTGACGTAGCTTGTACGACTTTTTTCTGTTTCTCTCCAAAAGGTCAATGGCAATTTAGTAAAAATACCCTCCTCTCCTCGAATGTTCTCAGAACCACGTAATCCCAAAACCGCTATTGTTGTTTCTTAGCCTTCCTTTTTAGCCCATCTCTCTCTTCCACCATACATAATCACTAATTTATCCCCTATATTATATTATATAATATTATATTATATTATATATATATATAACTAATAATTTGCCTTTTAACCAACCATTTATTTCAGTGGCCTTTACCTCCTCTACAACCTGTTTCTCCCCTCTCTCTCTCTCTCTCCCTCTCTCTCTCTCTCCTTCCTTTCTCTCTCTAGACATCTCCAATCTCTCCCCCACCGCTTGTTTCACCTACGTAATCTCCAGATTTCATTCTTTGATTATATTCATCGATCTAATCTATCTCTTATAGTTTTTATCGATTAATTTTTATTTATTTTTGATTTGATTTGCAGCTTTGTTGATCGAAATCGCTTGAATCGAGCGATTGAGGACGATAATTGGAGGAGATTCAAGCGAGTTTTGGGGAATTGAAGATCTAAAAGATGGCCGAGGAACAGAAGTGTCAACAACCAGCCGGTCACACGCTCTGCGCCAACAATTGTGGATTCTTCGGAAGTCCGACGACGCTCGACCTCTGTTCAAAGTGCTACAAAGACTATTGCCTCAAAGAGCAACAAGCCTCCACGGCGAAACTCGCCGTCGAGAAAACTCTCACACAGCCGTCGTTGTCGTTATCGCCCTCGCCGTCCTCCGTTTTGTTTCCTTCCCATCCGCCGGAGGTCAGCGGTGGTGGCAGGAATCTTTTCGCGGCGGAGACGTTGGCTCCGGCGGTGGCGCAGCCGAACAGGTGCGCCACGTGCCGGAAGCGGGTGGGGCTAACGGGATTCGCATGCAGGTGTGGGACCACGTACTGTGGGACCCATAGGTATCCGGAACAGCATGGATGTTCGTTTGATTACAAGGCGTTGGGGAGAGAGGAGATCAAGAAGGCTAATCCGGTTGTGATAGCCGAGAAGCTTGAGAAGATCTGATCTGATCTGATCTGGACCGTTTATCATAAAGTAAAGTAAGTTGATATATTATGATTTAGTTGTGGTGGTGATTGGTTGGGGATAGGGAAGTTTGATCTGGACCGTTGGTGGGATCATGGGATTGTTTCTAGCAGATGTAAAATGAAGATATTAAATATTTTCTTAATAAAAATTGAAATTATGGGTATGCATTGAGCTCCGTGTTCCGTTATTGTTGATAGAGTAATGGTTGACCCGTTGAGCTTTATTATGGTTTACTTTTTTTATTTCATCCCATTCACTTTATGATTAGAATAATTTTGTAAAGTTGATTTTTTTATCAGTTGACGTAATTATATTATTCTAGTCTTCTTCTTTGATGAAAAGAAAAAAAGAAAAAAAAAAAAACTCATTTAGTATTATCATTGAAATGTATTTGGATAAATTTTACTACTTTAGTTCCAAATTCTTGGCCCTTCTGGAAATTTAATTTATTTATTTTATTAATAAACATGTGAATTATTAAAAATATTAGTTAAATGGTGTATAAAATATAATAAATAAATAAATTCACGAATCTCCTTTCAATGCATATTATTCATGTGATAAAAATAAAATTAATTATAATAATTATTTTTTAATGTACCGCTTGAAAAAAATTCATAATAAGTATCAATTTTGTCATAAATATTATTTTTGTTAAGAGCAATGTGATGCAAACAAATCTTAAAAAGTATGCGATGGATTTAAAATATAATATATATTTTTGTCGTTTTATTCATATAATTATAAATAAATCATTAATTTAAAATTTAGAGCTAAATGGTTGTTGTTTTTGTTTTTAAAATTTTATAATTTTTTTTAATTAATCCCTAATATATTTTAGATAGTATTGAATAATATTCTTCTAAAAAAAAATTTAATTGCAAAATCAACTTATGTTATAACTTTCAAACTTTTTAAATTAAGACGCTATATCTCTTAATTATGTTATAACTTTCACGCTTTTTAAATTAAAACACTATATATATCTCTTATATGTGTTATAACTTTCACGCTTTTTAAATTAAGACACTATATATATCTCTTAATTATGTTATAACTTTCATGCTTTTTAAATTAAGACACCATATAGCGCATATATATATTTTTATTCATAAAATATTTATTTGTATTATTTTATTGTGGTTGTTGCATGATGAATATTACTTATTATTGAATTCATAAGGGTAGTTTTAGACTTTTAGTATATAAATTATTATTTTTTCATTCTCTTGCTATCTAATCTAATGAAACAATATTTTCTTACAAATTTTTATAAAAAAAATATTCATGCTAACTAAATACATAATAAAAACTTAATTTTCTTTTATTTTCTTCTCACTTCCCACCATCAATTTTATGGACATTGAGATAGGTTGTTCTCGTTTTTCTTCTTATTTTTATTTTGTTTTTGAAAGTTTCAAGTCAAAAATTTTGGCCACGTAAACTAAGTCAAGAAGTTTCTATGACGCGCAACCCTCTTTCTAGAGTCCTATTATTTTACCAAGTCTATACGACTACTTATGTGTCAATTTTACCAAGTCTATACGACTACTTATGTGTCAAATATAATGGGATTTATATTAAAATATAAAGTAATTAATTATTTAAAAAGTTATAGTCATTTTTTAGGTTTCATATTAATCAATCTTTGTTAGCAATTAAAGTTTCAATCACTATGTATATCAAATTGTATATGTATTATATATATAGATTACATTGGATCTTTGTAAGAACTCTTGATACTTTATACATCTCTTATATATAATTAGATTAATATACTTCAACATCTCTTACATATAATTAGATTGTGTATCTCTTTTTATATATAAAAACATTGTGTTGATATACATCAATTACTTTGATAAGCATTTGCTATAATGATCAAAGTTAATAATCTATCTAACTTCCAGAAACAAAAATATGGAAAGGACTTTATAAAAAAAAAAATTGCAAAGTATTGAAAAATTGTAAAAAAAAAATATATATTGTAATTTTTGTTGTAAATTTTGTATAAATCAAATTCTTATATTTGAGTACCATGAAACTTGGACTCCATTTGTTTCGACGTAAAATATTTTTTTTGGAAAATATTTTTATTTTTCGAGTCCATCTGGCGGGACATGTAAAATAATTTGCAGAAAATTTACAGATAAATTATTTTTGTTAAATTTTAATATTTTTTTTCTTCGTAAATATTTTAGGACAACCAAACTCTAGAAAATAAAAAAAATATTTTATACAATCATAAACTAAAAAATAAGTAAATGAGATATGAAAAATTTAAAAATAAGTAATGATATTTAAGTTGAAATTTTAGAATAACCACGTCATATTTTTAATTCGGATTATTAAAATTGTCTATCATATTATTTTTCAGTCTTCCTAACATTGTCAAATTTCTATCCATTTTAGCAAGTAAAATGGACTTTTCACATGAATTAGACTAGACCCGCCAATAATTTTTCATATTATTTTGAAGATATAAGCATAAAGCACACTACCTCTCTCCATCCATTCATTCATCTGTCCATTTTTTTTTATTCTTTTTATTATTTTATTATTTTTTATTTTTAAAAAATAGAAATTTAGCAAGCTTTCGATAATTTTTTTGGACCGACAAGCTTTTCTGTAGTTGAGAGAGTATTCATTATGCAAATTTTTCGTAGTTTAGGAGGATTACGGGAATTGATTTATACGGGCAATTCGGTATTTTCACAATGCAATTGACTAGCACTGACTGCCATCAGTATTTTCACAATGCAATTGACTACCACTTAGGCACTTACCGCTATCCAGTCTGGCTGACTTTATTTGTAAACATATATTTTTTTTTTTTACTTGTAAATATTTATTATTATTATTATTATTATTGTCATTGACAAAAAAAAAAAAAAAAAATCACACTCGCCACCCACCTTGTTTAGAGGACAAATATACCCTCCCTCACTAGTAATGCAAGTAATCATCCCAAATCTCAGTAATCATCCCAAATCTAAAACCTTTCTATTGGATTTAAATTAAAAATGAAATTTATATTGTTAAAAATTAATGCATATTAAAATGAATTTGAAGCGCTTTTAAGTAACAGAATTTATCTTTTAAAAATCCCATTAAAAATAATCAGAGTTTATGGGATTTGAGAATTACGGAGTATTTAAGAAACTACCACCACTCCCATCACATTATTATTTCATAAGAATAGAGTCTGATAAGCCATTTCACATATTTTATTTAATTTTTCTCAAACAATTTCATTAACATCCCTGCCCCATCCCTGCCCCATCCCTCCTAACATAAATATATATACTTTTCCTAGTCCTAAGGCATTTACAATAAACAAGACCGTTAAACACAAGGACAGTACAAAAGTAATAAAAGGCAAGTCATAAAAAGATAAACAAAACCTGAAACACAAAGAAGAAAAATAACAGGCACTAAATTTGTTGCAAAGAACAATGGAAGTCACCACATGAGATGAGTACTAATGGGAGTGACACAAAAGTCAGGTCATCATCAAGACATCTGCTTCAAAGTTTCATTCACACGACGCCTCTGACTAGTGAAAAACCACCCAAATCCTGCATAAGGCGGGAACCACAAAAACCTACAAAGATCTGAGATTTAGTCGGGGATAACAAAAAACCAACATAAATCTGAGATCTAGTCGGGGATAACAACAAAATCGACATAGAACTGAGATCTAATCGGAAAAGAACACAGATCCACCCGTCTGGCCAAAAACAAACCAAACTGAAACAGACCTAGCAAAACAAAAGCAAAACAACGTGAAAAACCCGAGCGCATTTACGATTACAAGGCGAGTTTATTTAGCCTGTGGGAGGCAAGAAATATCATCTCCTCACTCCCATGGAAGAGAGCAGAGAGAAAAGAGAGAAGATGAAGTGGGAGGCGGCTGGATCGGTGAAGGTTTCTAGAGAGACGAAAGAGGAGTGAAGATTCGGGTAACTGTTCTCCATACCTCCTAACATATTTACAAGTCTTAGTTGTGGAGTAATATCTCTTGAGCATTGATGAGCGTGAAATTTTTTTTCCCACCAAACATGATCACAGTTGGATATGATCTAAGTGTTATTAACTACCAAAAGAACCTAAAAATTATATATAATAATCATCATATTTGATGCAAATAAATTTCTTGTTTATTGATAAACAAGAGATTATTTATGTTTCGTCATATCTGTTCCATAATCTCATTTTGCCACTAATGAGCACAACTCCTGGTTCTTCCTTCCTTTCATTATTACTAGTTTTTCCTTACTTTCATTATTAATCTTATTTCTTCTTATCATTAATAGCATCCATGGTAACATTTTCATTTCTCATTTATGCTATACAAATGTATTATTATTATTAATTTATTTTAATTAAATTTTTTTAAAAAACCTAACACCCTACGCCATATAAAATGGTCAACCTAACCGTATTAATATGCTTTTTCTGACCGTGTTAAACATGAGAAGTGATATTCAGTCTTTCAATCATTACTCCTTATTTAAACATAAGAGGGGACCTTTAGAAGGATATGCAACAAACACGACAGGAAGCTTTAGTGATTTAAAACTTACATAATAAAAAACCCCAATTATGAGAATCACAGTTATTATTATTATTTTTTGGATGAGGTCCTTTGAGAGTAAAAGAATTAGTAGGTTTTAGATTGGGCTAGCTGATTATTGAGTTTTGATCTCACGGCTCTTCAAGAGGTAATGGTTTTTGTTCCTGTTTTTTGTGCATGTTCTCGGGACGGAGCCGGGATTTTAGTTGAAGCCGGCAGAGTGTTCAAGAAAAAAAGAGATAATTTAAAGGAGTAAAAGAAAAAAAAAAATTAAGAAAAAGGAAAAAAAGGTAAGAAAAAATGACAAATTAAAAAAGAAAAAAAATTAGTATTTAATTTAACGAGGAAAATTTAACTTTTTTTTAAAGGAATTTAAAGAGTAAATGAGGAAAAAACTAAAAAAGTTGAGAGATAATTTTAAAAATTAATAATTTCAGAGGATCATTATATAAAAAAATTCATCTACAATCAATGCGTAACAAGAATTTCTGATTAATTAAATCATCTTGGAATTTATAAATGCATTTAACCAAAGAAAGAATTTCCTTTTTGATGGTTGAATAATTTAATTGTGCATTTTTCCAAGT